AAGCAAGGGAGTCACTCTGACGGACGTCTCTTATCACCCATAGAGTCCGTGTGCACTGCAAACGGCGCACAGACATCACAAAAAGAGCGGCACCCATTACAGTGTTACAGGCTTACAGCCATTCCGAACACCCCAACAATGACTGTTTATCAGTCCTTAAAGGAACTCACCCAGGGACAAGAAGTACCTAGAAAAAAACAGGGTAAGAAGGACATACAATAGACAAGAAGAACGACATACAAGCAAAGAGGAAGACATCATGCATTATATATGTACCCCATGATGCTAACAATACGAAGCAGGCTTAGACCAAACCGAAAGAGGCCGGATTATGGGGTTTGGAAACAAATTGTTGTAGGGGAGCAGTTTCAATCCACAGCGCCGTCACTGTTTCTAAATTCTAAGAGTTTACAAAAATAGAGAGAGTTTGAGAGTGATTCTTCTATAATGCCATCATCCCGGGGCCCAGGGCGAAAGGCAAGCTAAAGCTTCAAAGAGTCCTGGAGTATATATATACATATATATATATATACTACGTTGCGATTCGTACTCACCCCCGTACGAGTACAAGTTGTACTCATTTCTTGTACGCTACTCGTACTCAAGGCCCATACGATTTTTTTTAATTTTTTTTTACTGTTTTTATTTTTTTCTCCAATTCTAATAAGAATCTGCAGATTGTGCTCAGGCAAATGTTGCTTGTTTTGGAATTTTACATCACATATATTTTTTTCGGATTTTTTGGATGAACGTTTTTTTTGTTTTGTTTTATTTTGTTTTTTTTTTTTCGTACTGGTCGTATGGGGGCGTATAGGTTCCCGTACAGATATTATCTGTACGTTTCGTACGGAAAGGCCTCGTATGTGTACGTTCGGTAACGTATACATATATATATATATATCTCTTGTTGAATCCTCATAAAGAATCTCAAGGTCAAAGTCAAATTCAAAATGAAAACGCAGTTGGCTGCTCACAAGCATATCGAGGCCAAACTTAAATTTCAAAAGCTAAGGAAGTCATCATAGTTATGTGCCTCAAAGTATCTCCCTCCCTGACCCAAAATCTAATCTGAAGCCTTCAAAATGATCCTTCTTTTCCTTTCCTACCTCATCAAGAAGAATCTGCCCACTGCTTTAGGGGTTTCACACCTTCCTTTCTTCCCAAAAAGGATTGCTCTAAATACTGTAAGCGCCTGCCTAAAGCAGGAGACAACAAAAATGGAATGTCCACGCCCTGGGGGGCAAAAAAATCCCTTCACTCCCACTGTGGTGGAGGTCTCGCTTTGACTACAGTAGTGCACCGCTGTGATAGTTACTACTACGAACATGCGGACAAACAAAATGGATAAATCCTAGACAGCTTGAGTCACTTGATAGCTAGCCTGTGCTGAAATCTGAATGTGTTGGATGGCAACAGTTATTGTGAGAGGGACTGGCCGGCACAAGATGCACTAATTCTGCGCTGCGCTAATCATGCGTTACGCCGTCCTTGTGTCGGTGTTTTCGGAGGTATTAGCGCGTTAAGCCTTGGTGTTGGAGGTAGGGCGTCGTCTTCGTAATTTTCAAGGCGCCAACCATCTCCCGCGCAGTATACCTTTACTGCGTTTCCCCCTGTGGAATACCAGAGGGCAGGGAGTTTCCGGTCGCGGCTTTTCGGCTCTTTGGTTCATTCAAGGGTGAGAATGGAACTGTTACTTATCTGGTCACCCGAGTCATCCGGATGAACAACAGACCATGGGAGACGATTTGGGAAGTTTCGGATGAAGTTCATCGTATACCGACGAAATGGTAACCAGCAATCTCTCTCCAAGTGCAGGATGGGGGTCGGGTCAGCAGAGCCTAGCATCGACAAGGAAGGTATAACTTACGACTCTGAAGATTTTCCTCACGCGTGCATGAGGGGGAGATAACAGATATACCCAGTTTATTTATGCATCTTAAGTACTTATAGTAGGGGTTTACCTTCGTGTTTACATTAGATTCTAAGGGAGAGTGCTTGGAATTTGATTTGGTCCCACTAGTTAGGTGGTGCGAAATTTATGTCGTCGTCCAAATTGGTAGGGTGAGAAGGAAAGGTGCCGTGAAGGAAGGATTCTATGACAAACGTCAATGGAGACCCCCCTCCAGCCCCTCCTCCTCCTTCACCTCCCCCCCCACCTCCCAACCCCTCGCCTCCGATGTCCGACTCGAAAAACAGAGGATAAGGAATATAATGAGTTATGTTATGTGGACGGAATCCTACCAAAGTATTTGACCACCAATACGGTGGAAGTCGGAGAGGACTATGTTAGAGTCACTATTAATCTGGAAGTCCTATGAATTCAAACCGATTCGTTAAAAGAACATGCGGTAACAATTTTGTTTGGGGACGAGTCAACCTCTCTGCCCATCGAGGTCAAGAAAAGAATCGTACGGACCTATGAAGACGGGTGGGTGATAAATCCTCAAATTAACGTTGCCCCTAAACGAGGACTATTTCATAACGAATGCAGGAACCTCGTGACTTATGTCTCGGCCTCCTGTGTGTCCGGTTTTGGATTCAATGCGGGTTCCTCGTTGAATTATTCAACGCGCGTTGAATTCGCGTTCAATCCCCGTTTGAACGCGCGTTAGACGGGGAAAAACGGGGCTTGCAATGATTTTTTTCTCAGGCTAAAAATAATCGGAAAAAAAAAAAAAAAGGGGTTGTAGATCTTTTCGAGGTCTACAACCCCATATTTTTATTTGTAGCAGGTATCGCCCACCTGCTGTAGCAGGTATCGCACCTGCTGGTGGGTGCAGCTCCCGCATGTTCCCTCGTTGGAGGCTTGAGCACGGATGTGGCTGCTACGAGGTTCCCCGTAATACTATAATGACAATAAAAAAGGCCCGAAAGGCCTGCCTGTCC